GTGACCTTGTACGTTAGAGATGTGTGACCAAGCACTTTTGTTATAATTAGAAAGAATGAGCAAAATATCTATTTAATAGTTAACTACCAAAGACGTTCCAGATGCTGCACTGAGATTCCATAATGGATTATCTCTAATTCTAAGAAGGAGAGAAGAAGAGAAAGCACAGGTGGAAATTGAAAAGGGGATATGCAAAAAAGAAATGTAACATGGCTAGGATGGGATATGACATCTTTGGACTCTTAATATGTCAGCAAATAGCCTGTGAATCTTTTGATGCGATTAAGAATTAAGGAACCAAAGGTCCTTGTTAAGAGCTCTGTAAACATTTGCTTTCTTTTTTTCTCTTAAAATTATATTTATCACATCATGAATTATAGGTTATCTTGGTCACTTTTGGCTCCTGTATTCACTCATTCCACCCCGCCCTTATAAAACTCAATTCTTGCCAAATATATTTAGAAGTTTGAAAATTTCTTTTCTAGTAATACTTGCAATCAGTGAATATATCCATTGTTATCTATTTTCTGCAATCAACTGTTTTATGACTAGTAATTTTGATTGTTTCATTTTTTTTATTATTAAGTTATGAACTTTCCACAGAGTCTTCTTTAACTCCCCAAAAATAGAATTAGGAAAACAAGCTGTAATGTATATTTTACAGACTCTTTAACAAAGTGAAAATCATCCTTCCAAGAACAAACACAAATGTGTTTAGTTGGTTTTTTTAAATAGTCCCTCCATACCAGACATTGTCTCAAGGTGACTTTAAAAACAACCGAAATGCTCATTAAATATTGCTGAATATGCTTCTTGGCCTTCCACAATCCCAGAAAATATCTTGAATGCCAAAGATAACATTGCATAGCAATTATACTGCTACCACACTATTAATAGCATAATTTTAGATACCATCAAAATGATAATCATAGTGATGCTTGTAGTAATTTTCAGCAGGTTTCTCACACATATATGGCCAGTAGGAATCTTACACAGTGAGATCATATCCTTTTCCTAACTTTCTTTGCTAATTATATTGCTGTTATCTATCATAACCCCAGGGTATAAGTCTGCATGTTCAGGCAGTGAAGATATGCTCTGGAGGAAGCATGAGAATAAGGAAGGTGAAGATAGGAAAGATTTGACCTCAGAAACTGCTTAAAGAACATCTTATTTGGAGAGCTTGCTGGAACTCTGGCTCTATGTTCAACTGAAACATTGGGACTGTTTAGCCCTCTACACCTTAGATCAGGGATGTCAAACTCGATTTCATTGAGGGCCGCGTCAGGGTTTTGTTTGACCTTGGTGGGCTGAGTGGGTGTGGCCAGGGTGGGTGTGACCAGTTTGGCATCACTCATGTCGGAGGTGCTTGTGGTGGCCTGAATGCTCTGTTTTCATTGGCAGAGATTGCAGGAGGCCGTCACAGCCGAAAATGGAGCTTGTGGGGCTGCACGTGGCCATCCCTAGCTCTGTTTTCACTGGCAGAGGCATTGTGGGCCTCACTATTTCCAGGGTGGCCCATGAACCAGATCTAAGCACATTGCGGATCAGATCCAGCCTGCGGGCCTTGAGTTTGACAACCCTGCCTTAGATGGAAGGTTGGAAGGATGACCAAATAAAATTGAGTTTCTCTGTTTTAATTTTGCAAAAGCTGGGAACTGGAACACTTCTTCAGCTTACTCTTTTAAAGTCTCACCTCAGAAAAAGAGAAGCAAGATCTATAAGGAATGCCTCCTCAATTCTTACTAGCTTTCTTCCTGCAGCTAACTCACCCTCAAAGGATCAAATCGTCACCAGCTATCAAGCAATATAATAATATTGAAACTGTCCTTTTGGACTAGAAAAAAGGTTTATGAATTCTCAAATGACACAATAAGATGCTTCTGTCCTATTTTGCCATTTGAGATTATAAGCATCTGGAAAAGTTACTTTCTGCAAGAAACATATAGTGGAGTGCAACACACTAGTTTTTCAGCTGTATCAACTTATCTGTGTTTTGTTGCTTCTCAGATATAAAAAAGGAAGCAAAGATCTCGTAAACAAGCACTATAGTTACCAAGGACAGAACAGCCAAATATTATAAAAGGAAATGGAAGAATTGGGGTTTCACTTTTTTTTCTTTCTGAATTGACTTTTTTTTAATTTCACAGAGAATCTTCACTGGGGCAGGAGAATGAGAACTATAAATCAAACATTATGTAAAGTACCTTGTCATCCAAGTTAATGACATAAAATGAACTTTTGCTGTTTGGTAAAATAAATGGATAGGAAGAAAAAAAGGAAATACAGGCCCAGAATTACAATGAAAATCCCCTTTTCAGTATGTGTCCTCTTTTCAGTATGTTTAGAAGAAACTTTTGAAAGATGCCAAACAGGACAAGAGAGAGAAGTATCCAGTAATTCCAGAAAGAGGAAAAATATCTTTTTGTGTTCAGAGATATTGTCCCAAACTGGATTTAGTCCAGTTATTGGGAACAGACTATGCTATATTCTGTTGATATATGTTAAATAAAAGATAGGGGAGGAAATACAAGAATAGTTTGTTTATTCTTCAGTAGTTTTGGGCGGAATCTCTAGCTGTGAGATGATTAGCACTGGATTTTTAGCATGAAATAAATCAAAACACATCACTTCTGGCTGGGGATTTGTTTTGGAAAGATAAAATAAATGTGCTCCAAGGGCAGTTTAGTCTCTAGTGACTTCAGGCATCTGCCACATAGTTTTACTAGGAAATTTTAAATGAGGTTTTCCATGGAGTATATTTTCCAATTTAACCTACATCCCTAAGATTTTCTGATGGCTTCCCATCTTTATACTAATCAGGTATGATCTTGCTTTACTTTTCACAACAAACCAAAGATAGCAATAGCACTTAGATTTATATAGTTTCATAGTGCTTTATGTTGCCCCCAACAATCTGGATCCTCATTTTACTGACCTGGGAAGAATAGAAAGCTGAGTCAACGTTGAGCCAGTCAGGATTGAACTGTTGGCAGTCAACAGAATTAGGCTGCAATATTGCATTCTAACTACTGTATCATTGAGTCTCTTACATTTAAAGTTTGGAACTACCACCTAGCAAAGTGTAGTAAAGCATAATTGAAGGAATGACCAGCATAAGTCAGCTAATTGAGGTTGGAATTCTTAAGCAATAATAAGAAAGCCTTTCTTGTTTATGCTTCAATTTCCTTTAGTCTGTCAATACAGCTCATTCAGTAGCCCAACACATCCACAGGGCATCAGGTTAGGGAAGCATTAGCTTAGAGTATTCGTATTAGCTCAGGAGGGAATGTTGGCTCTGCTGTCAATATAAAAAAAGGATCCAAATGCCAATTTCAAAACAAGCCAAGTCTACATTCTGATTGCAAAATTGCTGAGTGCAAGAATCAGGCCAATAACAGAATTTGCAGTAAATCCATTGATGTATTAGATGTTGTGGAAATATCTAATTACTGTAACATACACGAAAGTTGAAACAGTCAATGAAAAGTATGAAAGAAACAGAAAATCAATGTGAACTGCATCTTGCAGCTCCACTTCCATGCACAGAACCGAAATCTGATTTTTTGATTTGTGACTTTCGATGGCTTCTAGTCAATTAATTCAAAGGGCCAATAGCCAACATGCATCTGACAGAGTCCTAATGAAGCATTATTTGTACTATAAGGATAAATGGAGAAAGCTACAATGACCTATCTTACAGAGTTACGGAGAACTTTAGTTTATGTAATTGGCTTGCTTTTCCTTAACCATCGATAAGGTTAGAGAAGAGTTAAAATGTCGTAACTTCAAAGAAGGAAGATTAATGGAATTGGAAACAAGAGATGGGATAATCCAAATCCTCTCTGATGCTGGGATGGGGTTTAAGCTTTTGAGACAGCAATTATCTCTTTAAAACTACAAAGAATCTCAGGGTAACTTAGCTTGGAGGACACAAAAGGGCTTCATGTGTGAAGCAATGTTAACATGAAAGTCGACTGGTTTTGCCATCTGTAATTGTATAGAGTAGTAGAAGCACTTCAGTTGTGCTGAAATGGCAATTTCCATTCATACTCTAAACTTATATGATACAGAAACCTATATCTGCCGAAATCACCAAGGACATTGCCATATACAAGTTCTGCTTACTTTTGGGAGGGATATTTTTATCCTACCTTTTTTCTATATACAACTCAAGGCAGCAAACATACCAATATTCCTTCCTCCTATTTTCCACACAACAACTACCCTGTGAGTTGGGCTGAGAGAAAGTGACTGGCCCAAAGTCACCCAGCTGGTTTTTCATGCCTAAGGCACAATCGCCTGGTTTTTGTCCCAGCACCTTAACCATTACATCAAACTGGCTTGTGCATCACACATATGTGTTATGTACTTGGAAGCACATTGAATATATTTTTTTCAAAAATGCATATCCTGCTGTTCCCCAAAGATACTGTTTTAAAATAAAGGATGCTCACAGACTAATTTGCAACAAAACTACATCACTATCATTGTGTGAAAGCAGTATGATTAAAAATTGCCAAACCTTGAAAACCACAGCAGAAAGTGAAGAATGATCAGGATTAAATGAAGATATTAAAGAAATAGGAGAGAATGTATGAGTTTGAAAAGATCTTTGCCATGTGGCTGAGCATGAATAATAATGTAACTAGGGATATCTCTCTAGGGTTATGCTACAAAGGGTTATTATAAACATGCTTGTTTACATTGGACAAAGTTCTAATATCATATTCATCCATGAATAAATCAATAAAATATACTGGTAAAAAATGAATATATCAAATAACATAAACTGATATGTCGGCCAATTTATGTAATCAAACTGGACAACATGCCATTTTATGTTGTTCAACATATTCATTTTCTACCAGTTATGAATACATGCAATTTCATTTCCAGATATGAGGGGCCACCTTCTCCATAGGAGTATTAATCAGATTATCATTTTAAATTTCAATAACTTACACTAATCAACAAACAAGATAGAGAGTTAAACCTACCCGTGCCAAAGTCAGTGTCCCTTGTTTGCATGTTTTGCAACGAACCCGGAGTTTCCCAGGTTTCACAGCTTGGCAGAAACTTTTGCAGAAAACATAAAAACTGCTGTCCTTAGCAGCTTCTGCTGGGAGAAACAGAAATGCAAACCCTTCATTTATTAAGACACAACATTTCATTGTGTATGTACTTATATATGTGATAAAAACAAAGAAACAAATGAAAATCCACATATAGAATACCAGAATGACATTTTTTTCTCTTCTGGATAGCAACAAATCAAAATCAAATACATTGGATTTTATTTGGAAAAGGATAATCATTTAGGTATTTGTGTATGTTCCTTAACACAGCAATTCTATATCTGTTCTTCCTGCTTCCACCACTCTTTCTAGTCCACCAGAAAAGTTAAACCCTCTCTATCTGGAAAAAGTGGATATTATTATTAGACATATATATTAAATTGCTTCTCTCCCCATTGGGTGATTGAAGCAATATACAGAAATCAGATAAAAGCAGCAATAACATAAAATACACGATATGCCAAAATCAAACAAACACAATCACAAGAATAGGTTAACAAGAGAAGCCAGAATATTCATCACAATGAAACCTGAAAACATCATTTAAGAACATTAAAAAGGTAATGTAACAATATAGTCTACACCAGCTGCCGAACGTATAATAAAAAGGAAGCTAACCTGATTTCTCTCCCTATTGTCTTATTATAGACTTGCAATAATAAACCCAGAGCTGGAGATGGGAGAGGCAGGGAATAGTAGCAGCTATTCAAACTGCCAGTGAAAGGTAAGCCATAAACTTTGCTGCTAAATCCGTTAGGAATACTTTATCTTAAAAACACATGGGAATTACCACTCCTGAGGGAAAATATTTAAATGATAAAAGCAAATAGTTGTGCATCTTTATTATAAAACTAAGGTGTGTCACTTCACCACTTTCCATTAAACTGCCCACTTTATGGCTGTGATTCAATATATATATATTTAAAAGCACAACTTTTATATATATTTAAAAGCACAACTACAATGACGTGGGAAAATACCCGAACAAAGCCGAATGCCATATATATTTATATTTATATTTATATTTATATTTATACTTATACATATACATACATACATACATACATACATACATACATACATACATACATATATATATACCATCAAATCCCAAGCGGCTTGCAAAAATGTGAGATTAGATAACTCAAGCATCAATCTAACTATACAGGAACTGTTTATAGGAGAAAACACACACCCTGCTTCAGTAGATAAAATTGTGAAGCAGTATTAAGCATCTTTTGGGGGCATCTTTGTAAATAGCTGAAAATAGATCTGCTTGACATTTTCAACCTATCAGGAATAACATAAGAGGGGAATACCCCAAGACAGGAACTAACCATTGCTCTTGCACTCCAGACATGAGCAGGACAGAACCAAAATGGGCCTGATAAGAGTTGAGATTTTTAGTTAATGAAATAGGTAGTTTCTACATCAATTACGAACAGTCATTTGGCCCTTGGAAAAAAAAAGTCTGGATTACTGAAGGGAGGGGGAGGAAACATGCACAGATCTTTATACAGCGTAGTTGTTTAGATTTTGAAGAGCTGTATTCCACCACATCCCAAAAGTGTTAAAGAAGATAGCTTGAGAAATAAGCAATTTCATAGAGAAAGATGATCCAACAAATATTTAAGACAACAAAGAGAACAATATTTGTTGGAGCTGTTTTGTATTTTCCTTCATGATTCCATTAGCAGTCTGGCTTTGTTCCTCTTATTTATTCCTCCTATAACAAACAGACTGCCCAAAGAGCCAAACTAGTATGCTCTTTTGATCACAGATTAATTAGCACTTATTGGTTGTAGAGAAATCACTCCTAAGCTGAAGTGAAGCTTTAAACAAAAGCAAAATCCCACTCATAAAAATATTGTACTGACTGGAACAGCTTTTTTCGGTGACAGAAGTCTGCAACAGTATAGCTGCTTTGTTGATAAGGACTGATTTAGTATTAATTTCAGTGCTGCAGAAAACAAAAAAAAAGTAAACCATCTTTACCAATCAGGTTTACAATTACAAGCTTAAGGGACAGAGTACCATGGAGAATCAATGTTCTGTCTATGTGACTGCTAGGAGTTGAAAATGATTTGATGGCACATAATTTATGAAGGAGAGGGGGAAAAAAAGGGGGAGGGCAAAGGAAAGAAAAGCTTTATGCACCAATGCATAGTTTCAACTCTCACTTGGCTATAGTCAAGGACCTTCTTGTGGCCTGACCATTAGTGTTCCTTCTACCAAATCACCAGGTTTTGACCTGCCTCACTTTGTCTGGCTGAAATCGAACAGAATTAGATGTGATACTGGAAGGTGTGCCTCTGCCCTCTATCAATGAGGATGGAAAGATTCCCCTTGTTGCAATTGTGTTAATATGCAAAATATTAAACATATTGTGCAAGATTGCCCATGCTGTGTGTTTTCTGGTTTTGTAGAAGATCTGCATGAGGCAGTGCCAGAGGCAATCATCTGGACAGCTGAATTGGACATCCACTTACAAAATCACACTCCCATAGAAGTTTTACTTATAGTTACGTGGATTGGGTATATATACTTATTTTTCTTCAGTCAAGTTCTCATCATATGCTAACTAATAACAATTTCAACCTGTATCTGTCATAAAATCAGCACCTCTTTCATGCTAGAAACTCTGGTTTTAAACACTGCAATAGCTTTTTGTACCAGAGAAACTGACTTCTTTAATAAGAGTATTAAAGTAACCTATTGTGGAAGGAATTAAAGTATGAATGAACACATCGAGTTAACTAGATATAATCCTGGAGAGAATCGGAAGAGAAGCAATTTTAGAAGGAAGGAATAGGGAACAAATGTTGGTTAATTTGCATAAGTTATCCTGGCCATTAACTAGGCTCATTTTCTTGCTGGGTGGAGAATTTTGACAATTGAAATCTAAAGTTGCTGAGGTTGAGAAGCACTGCTTTAAAGACCTTACTTGTTCAAAGTCATTCAAAAATACTGAAAGTTGGCTCTATTTAATTTAGCACAGCAGAAAAATGCAGGGATCACACTTGTGTAGATTGAAAGTTGTCAAGCTACCCAAATGTTAATTTACTTTCTTAATGGAAAGGCAATCTTTCAACATTAAATACAGAATGAAAAAGAAAAGTTGACAACTTACAGATTTTTCAATTTACTGGACTAATTTAAAACATGATGGCATTAAATATTTAAATGGTAAGTTCCCGTAAGCCAGTTCAGAGTTACTGTAATTAATTTACCTGCAGCTCAGAACGTAAACAACATTTATGATAACAAGAGTTTGAAAGAAGGAGTTGGTTGTTTTATTCGAGAGCCATAAAAACTGGCTTTTTCTGTAATCATTTCTGTTATATAGCAATAGCACTTAGACTTACATACTGCTTCATAGTGCTTTACAGCCCTCTCTAAGCAGTCATCATATTGCCCCCAACAATCTGGGTCCTCATTTTACTGACTTCGAAGGATGGAAGGCTGAGTCAACCTTGAGCTGGTGGGAACTGAACTGCTGGCAGTCAGCAGAGTTAGCCTGCAATTCTGCATTCTAACTGTCCCACCGTGGCTCTTTCAAAGTCATTTGAAGAAATGTAAAACCACTTGTCAAATAGATTTTTTTGATCTGGAAAGGAAAAAAGTTCCAACTAAAAAACTAGGAATTGCAGTACTTCAGCATCCTTAAGTAATGTTGAAAAGCTAAGAAGGGTTAAACCTGGTTGGTCTAGTATGTGAGACCAACAGGAAAAAGTCCTGCTTATAGGCTGAAAAGTTGGAAAAAAAACTTGTGAGAAGGGCAAACCATTTCTCTACTGTTGCCAGAAACTGAGCAAAATATGAATAAAACTCTATCTTTTAAAGAAGCGTTCTTGAGTTACACACAATCCTTTTGCATTTGAGAACCACAATCTGATTGCAAAAATATCAATGGCAATTATCACACAAAAGATATCCAGAGCTGTGTAACTATTCTCTCAAAGCCACAGGTAGCTTACCAAAGCTTTGTTAAATTATTAAAGTGACTAAAATTAAATCATTTAAATACATAACATCATTTGTGATTTTAATTGTTGACATGACTAAGCCTCCTGGCTTTGTTCCAAGTAGTAAATGTGATGATGCACATATAACGATGAATTTATTCTGTGCAACAGTAGCTCTCCTCTTGCAATGCCAACACTGGATACTGACAATGACTGCAAAATTAGGGCAAGAAAGCAGTATGAAAACCAGAAATCCATATACGTGCTGCTAGAAACAGCAGGAGTTGAGCAATACTTTCTACTTACTATGCCTCATAAAAAGATGCACAAAAAAACCACTCTGTCTAGCAATAGCAGTAGCACATAGACTTATATACTGTTTCATAGTCTTTTACAGCACTCTCTAACCAGTTTACAGAATCAGCATATAATTCCCAACAATCTGGGTTTCATTTTACCAACCTTGGAAGAATGGAAGGATGAATCAACCTTGAGCTTGTTAGGATCGTACTTCTGGCAATGGGCAGAGTTAGCCTGCAAAACTGCATTCTAAACACTGCCAAGCCTCAGTACTATTAATCTCTTTCATGAATACTATCACACAGCCATCACAAGCACTAAACTTAACATAAGGAAAAAAATAAATAAAGTATGCCTAGAATCGTGCTAATAAGCAGGCCCGTACAAAGATGTGGACTAATTTGCCAGTTGTCTTACCTGAAGCAATTTTTCAACGCGCCACAGGAGGTGCCCCCAGATCTTTCAGAACGAAGTAAATGGCCATTTGTATCAACCTGTCTGCTGCTTTATGCAGACTGGCTGATAGCAATCTTAAACTTCTGTAGACACATTATTGGGTTTCTGTAGCGAGCAATATCACCAGCCATGAGAACAAGAGGCAATCAGAATAAATTAAAAGAATATGAACGTATTGTGCCTCACTAGCAACACAACTCTTAATCTAACAATAGCAGTCCCTGTTCCCCTCGAATCGTCAAGACTAATTTCTCACAAACAGCCTTGATTAAGATTATCTCCCTTTGTTTTCAGGGGCTAAAAGAGGTGAAAATAAATCT